TTTGATTGTTTGGGCCCCTATTTAAAAAACTGTTGGACAGATGCTGACAAGCGATGATACCTGATAAGCGATAATACATAATGGAGTAACTATCAGTAAGCAGAGACCGCAGTTGCTGAGGGGCCCCTGATCTTTTAGGGGCCCTGTCAATGACACTTGGTTGGCCTACTACGCATTTGACCCCAGTAAGAACTAACCCACTAATACTAGGTGAATAAAAATAAATCATAACCATCAGACTTTGATGGCCATATGCTGTTCCATCAGTTAATTCATATGTAATATTTGAACATATGGGACAGTAAACATTATAAACTAGAAACAGCCGCTAATATAAATTCCTTATATAAATTTGTTACATTTCTTTATAAGAACATTTAAAATAGTTACATATTTTTAAACATTAGTAGATAATAAAACTAACATAAAAGAATAAAACCTTATTAATATATAATGACAAGAAATATGATATAAGAGTATAAGATAATAAATATACCACAACATTTAATGACATTAATAAGGATGGAATTATAGCATGAAAAAATATAAATGTTTAATTCATTTATGTAGTTATGTTACTCTGGGGACAACATACATTTTGCCAAACAGATTTTGAAAGATTTAATGTGACTATATATCAATTGTTCATATGTAGTTCTAATATTATTAGTGCAATATTCTAATCTCAGGATCCTTTACAATTTTTAGCAAACATTGTGCTGCCACCCCACGATCTAATGCAATATTTGTTTTAGAATAATGTTGCAATGAAAGTCAGTTCTACCATATTTAGTTGTCGTAGACATAGTAATTGTGGAAACCGTTTTATTGAACTGCTTAATGATTGCAGCAATATCTTTTATTCAGGGACTTGCTGCCAGATCAGGATGCATGCTATTCCTCAGCCTAAAGAAGTTGACAGGTGGACCGAAAAAAGGAGCATGTTTGGAGTTTATGACAACATCGGCATCTTAGGTAAGTTATATATCCTTAATATGGCTTTTATTTTGGTATAAACATTCAGTCCATTTATTTTATGAAGCTTGTATGTGAATAAGATATTGTATTAGAAATTAGAAATAAGTGTTTGAAGGAGATTTCTTAACTTTAGATGGCATCTTTGTTTTATTTTTCCACACATTCTTTGCAGTAGTCTCATTTCTTTCTTTTTTCTTTTTTTTTATCTAGGGGATTTCAAAGCCCATCCTAAAGACCTCATCATTGCCCCCTGTTGGCTGAAGGGTTTTAAAGGTAATGAATTGCAGCGTTTGATTAGAAAAAAGAAGATGGTGGGAGACAGGATGATGACTCTGGATCGACACAACTTGGAGAAGAGGATCCGCTTCCTCTACAGACGCTTCAACCGCACCGGAAAGCACCGCTAATGCCGCAGCAAACCTCGCTCAACAAGAACTGTCAGAGTTTTTTCATGTCAATTCATCATATGACTGTTATGTTGAGTAATTTAATGAGGAAATATATATTTCAGACATTGTGTACTTATTGTTTTGTTTTTCCTTTGGACTTTGTGAAGATTGGTCATCCCTAAACGAAAAAGAACCTCGAAATACACAGAAAATAACGTCATAAAATTATCATTTAGATGGCTTTTTTTTTTTTACATTTACTTCACTTTTTATGAAAGATTTTTTTTTTTTTTTTTTTATGTTTCGCCAGTTCAGAGTAGACTAAAGACTAAATCCCACTTAGTGCTTCAGCATAAAAGAACAGAAAATAGAAATAAGTTTTGTTCTCCCACAGTGGGGAAATTCTGACACTTTGTCCCAGCACTTACCGTAATTAAACTTAAAGAGAAATATACATGCGTAAATTGCAAGAGAAAATAGTGTAAAACTGATCAGGGTGCCCTCAAATTTGCTAAATGTGTATTTATATTCATACATAACACCTAACAGAATATTTAAAATGTATTGAAACCATATAAGCAATCCTCAGAGATATAGCAACTTACTAAGATCGTTGGGTGTATTGATTATAATAAATGGTTATAAAGTCTTAAAATTAGCTAAAAGGAAGGAATTGCACGAACACTCCTTAGTGCACATAGGGTGCAGCAGTCTGTCACGGAAGGAGCTCTCCAGCTCCACAACTGCCTCTTTCCTTGGGTGGGAGACATTTTCCCACAGTGATGCTGTTTTGGCTGAAGTCTCTCCGACTGCACAGCCTGCACTGGGTTCAGGGTACGCCTCACAACAGAGCCGTTCTTGTTTAGTTCAGCTATAGACACATTGCTGCTGCAACAAACTCTTCTACAGCAGATGCCTGAAGCCAGAAGATGCCACCACATGGCACTTCAAAAGACCTCAGTCTGCACAGACATTTTCTGTTTTTTAAGGTGAACAAAGTATGTATATGTGGATCTGATTGGGTGACAAACCTTCAAATCACTTGAGTCATGTTTTTGAAAGGTAACAATCATTGATTGATTCAAGGATATTATTTAAAAGCAACTTTGTTGTTGATTCAGCTCCACAGAACCAACAGCATCAATGTTATGGGTTTTAAGTGTGTTTGTTTTCTTTTGCACTGCTACACCAAGGCTTACTAGATTATCAAACAGGTAGCATAGTGCCAACAGGATTAGAGCTGTTAAGGTTTAATATAAAAAAAAAAGAATACAGCATGTTTTCAGTAAAATTGGCTCTTATAACGGAAAGGTGTCTGAAGTTGTCAGATCATTGTATGTTTATCAGACCCCTAGTTGACCTCTTTCTATCAACCACAACTGACTGAAAAACTTAATCTAAAAAATAGGATGTAAAGATAAACTGCCTTCCTTTATATAATTACTAAATGTGCTTCTTTGTCCCAGATAAATATTTCAGTGCAAACTAGCTCTAATGTAAAATCATTAACAACTCCACATCTTACCTTTGGAGGCATATGAGACTTAACATTTATAGCAGTAAAATGTGAACCTGATGGTTCTGCCATGTGGTAGTATGTGTATTAATTTGATTTATTGACATTTAATTTGTAAAAAGTTTATAAAATGGGGTTTTCCTTTAGTTAACTGAAGGAAACGGATATATATCTTATAGCATAACTGATGGCTATTCATTTAGCTACTAAGAAACCAAGAATATAAAATATAGTGTTTTCTTCTGGATTGTTAACAGAAAAGCATGAGAAATCCAAATGGATAAAACCATCTTTAAATGGGTCAGGATTTAATGGCTTGCTGGCAGAAGGCTGTGTTCGGTGTTTGGCCTACTCAGTGGTCTTGGGGACACAATCTATAAAAATGAGTCGTAGGAGCATTTAAACCATTATCTGCCAGTTGTATATATTTTTCTCTAAAATTAAAGGAGAGCTCAGAAAACTAAAGACCATTAGCTAAAAACAGCTAACTACACTAACCTTACAAGAAAAATAGTACAAAACCAATATGGTCACAAGAACACCACATAGGTTATGTAAGCCTTAATAAGAATATGTTTGTAAAATTGAACAAAAATACCAAATAAAGTCTTAAAACTAATGAATAAGAAAGTAATTGAACCAAAGGCACAGAATTTTTTTACTGCTCACAAAAAATGTATTCCAAGAAGAAAAAACAGATTATTTTAAAACTAAATCTTTCTGTAAATGCCTGATACTGTGAGGTATAGTAAAAAGCAGGATTACAGGTTTACCAATCTTCATGGTAACGTTTGGGTCAGTGGTCTCAAACTGAAATCATTGGGGGACGGTGTCCTGCAGCAGTGAGATGAATCCCCTGACAAACACATGAATCAAATGGCCAAACTACAACACAGTCAGTTTTAGAGATTCTTATCTGACTGATGTGTTGTAAGAGATAAAAGGCAGTGACTCTCAAGGACCCAGGGTTTCAGACCACTGCTGTAGATCTCTTCTACATGCCAACCATTTTTTTTTTTTTTTTTTTTTTTTTTTTTTTTTAGAGAAAAGCAGTCCTTTCTGCTCTACTACTATAAAAGCTTTTGAAACTAAACCTTTTGGTGAAAGAATGAATGTGGTAAATCAGCCCCGATCCTTTGTTAAGTATAGTGGAGGATGGATGATGCTATGGGCCAGTTTCTGTTCCAAAGGCTAACTTACCTAAAAAAAAATAAATAAATAAAAACAGGCTGGAGATAGTAAGCTAGCATCAAGAGGTCAGAGAAAATTTAGATTAAAAAAAAACAAAAAACATGCTGGGTATTCCTACAACAAAGCTTTCCTGATGCTTGGATCAGCCTTTAATCTGAACATGTTTCCCTGAATGAAACAAAAGCCCAGGTGACAGGGTGAGTTTTCTAGTTTGGTTCCACTTTGCTCTTATTGTAGAGACATATATATGTAAACAAATACATTTGTTAAGAAATAAAAAAAATGCATACTGTTTATAATACAGTAGAAAGAAGTTTATCAATGTGTTGAAAAGAAGCCTGGAAAAATAAAAGGAATGAAGCAATAAATAAATGAATGACAAAGAAAAAGTTTTGTTTAAAACACCCATAATTTGCTCATAATGAAGATAAATATTTTGATCCAAATTAACAGTAAAAGTATTAGACTATCTTAAATCAACACTGGCATCCATATTCTTCATTTGCTTCAAGAGCTCAGTTTTCCACGGCTGATTTAACTGTTACTGTTGTTGAATAAATGGCTCTGTGTGGAAGTGCCCACGGTGCGCATTTTAACGGGCTGGATTGGAAACACAGGCAGCTGCAAAGAGAAGTGGGATACAGTAGCTGGGGGGTGATTGACAGAATCCCGGGCCAGGGAGAGCAAAACAGCCGAGTCAACACTCCTCTCTCTGGCTGCCCACTATACCGCAGTCTGGTCCCGCCATGGAGAGCTGCAGCACTGGCGGGAGGCAGGGGAGGGGAGGGGAGGGGTGCCGCACTGTCGTTGGAATCCAAGTGAGGAGACGCATTATTGCAGCTGAAACACTTTGCACGAACCAAAGTACCGCACTTCCCCCCCATGATTCCCAGAGAGAAAGGGAGGAGGAAGCAGGAATCAAACTGTTTTCTTATTATTGCACTTTCTTTCCCCTGATCCAAAAAAAAACAAACAAAAAAAAACAGTTTGTAGCTTTCCTAACAGGAAACTACTTAGCCTGCCAGCCAATCAGCGCTGCGTCCTCCATCAGCATCCAGGAGCAACTCAGGATCACTTGGAGGAGCAGGACGCAGCATCCCCGCTGGGATCTGGACATCCATGGATTCACCTCTTGGCTGGAATATCATTTAACATAGAAGCGCTCCTTTTCCTCGCTGTTCTCCATCACTCCCCTGCCACACAGTGAGTTATCACCCGACCTGTATCCGTGGCTCGGTGTGTTGCGGTACTTTGCGGACGACTTGCAGCATAAAAGCATCGCTAGAAGATCGCTTCCACTGCGCCAAGAAGAATCCCCGCCCATTTCTCAAGCAACTTCAACCTCTCTACTAACTAAAGCCTTTTTTTCTCCTGGATAAGTGCCTTTACATCTGCATCACTTTCATTTTTTTTAAAGAAAGTAATTCATATTATTACTTTAAGACTCCTCCTCTCCGCTGCCCGTCAGTCAGTCCAAACAGCTGCATAGGAAATGTGAGTATTAATGCGGATTCTTTATTGCGTCCTTTTTAATGCAGCAAACAATGTGAAAGACGCTAAAATAGGTTTAGAAATATCAATTTATATACCTGATGTGTTTTTTAAATGAGTAAATAATCAAATATAAGCTGTTTTATTTCATTTCGTTGCGCTTTTTGCTGACGCAAGTGAAAACCCATTTCTTTAATAATTTATCTAGAGTTGGACCAACGCCACAGTTTATCCTCTGGGAGAGCAAAGTGGGGCAGTTTATGGTTTTGCTTTCCAAAATTACATGCATTAAAATAAATAGTTAGATAAGGTTAATTTTGGCTTGCCTGTCTTAGAAGCTGGCTTTAAACATGATTTGTATTTTCACATTCATGACAATAAAAAAATACTGACATGATATTGTTATCTAACGTTTTCTGAAAATACATTTTTTATTTTATTTATTTATTTATTTTTCTCCCCTGAGCAGTAGAGGCCCCCCATCCCATTAACATAATGACCACTCAACTGGCTACATAGCAAAATTCTGTTTATACATAAAATATAATGTAAGATTTCTGAATGAGCTAAAGCAAATACAAATTTCTGCATTTATTGCAGTTTATGTTCATTCTCAGTTGTCCTCTCCTACCCAACTCTCCATGAATTCATACTTGACACCAGCATCACACACTGAAAAAAATAATGTTACCGTTTTTGGCATTTAATTAATTATATTTAGTTACTTTAACACAAATGTTTATGTCCTGCCCTGCTAACATGAAAGAGTTGTGTTAAAGTAACTAAATATGATTAAGTAAATGCCAAAAACGACTACTTAAATTTTTTTGAGTGTAAAACTTCTAAAATTCTGTTAACATTTTTCGTTTTCCTGTGCCACCCCTGTGGCCCCCATGTGAACTTTGACCTTTATTCCCAGCAATGCTTCAGTCTCTGCTCTTTTTGTCAATGTTGTTTAATTATTAATTATTAGTGGTAGTTTTATTAGTATTTTTATAATAGTTATTTGATTTTGAACCTGTTTTTGTTTTTTGTTTTTGCGATTTATTTTTTTCATCTATCCTTTTAACAGACTGATTTAGAGTTCATTATTAGAAAAGTTGTCATCCATTTCATCCCTGAACCAAAAAAAAAAGTAATTAAAAAAAAAAAGTCACTTTTTATTCTTTATTGTTTAGCTTTCTTTTTGAAAAACCTCTGTGAGGTACTTCACAATTTAAACAAAATTTAGGGCTTTAACATAATTGGAAAAAACTTTCCATTGATTAATCTTGATGTCCCTCATCAAAACTTTACGATTGATTAATCATATGGAAAGTCAAGATTAATCAAAAAGCTAAAATAAATCATTGGTATGAAAAGTTTTGACACACGACATCAGCATCCACACAGTCCTTTGCCATTAATTATATTGTGGTGATGATTATAATTGAATATATTATTGAGTCCTAAAGCTTCATTCTTTTATGTGTTCTTCCCTAAGCTTATGTTTACTATGAGGCGTATTTTCTAACAACTAGAAAACAATTTTCATAAAGTTGTTTTATTAAAAAAAATGTCTCACTTAAAGGCCCATCTCATCATTCCACATGAGGACTGGACAGATTTAACACTTTAACCCAGAGACCACATGAAAGATTGGTGAAGAGCATTTTTACAAGTTATTTCTGTAAATCTGACTTCTTAGTTGAAGCAACAACATTAAGTTGTTTCAAATTTAATTTAATCTTCTTTTCTCTCCCTATTTGGGATATAGAATTGGCATTTTGTTGTTTTGTCATCTGCTAATGATAACACTAAACCTGTATGTATTTATGTATTTAGACAGTCAGTCATTAAAGAATAAATGTGAAATGTTAGTTTAAATTGGATACACCAAAAACATTTATATCAGAGAAAAAAATATCTTAATCCTATTTTAGGTCTATTATGTAGCATCCACTTCAAATAAGTGTTTAAAAGTTTTAGGTCATGATTTAATTTAAGAGTCTTGTTTTGTTTACAGGTCTGCCCCCGATGCTGCTGCTCCTCCAGCTGCTGGACCTCCAGGTGCTCCTGGTGCCCCTGGTCCAGATGGAGCCCCAGGTGGTGGACCTCCAGCCCCACCCAACACTTCCAGCAACCGCAGACTTCAGCAGACACAAGCACAGGTTGAGGAGGTGAGATGAAGCACAGAATGAACTTGGTTAATTTCTCTTTTAACTGAAGTGAAATGTCTCATAGGGGGGGAGGCGCTGAGCTGTCCTTTGTGATTTATCTGTTTAGAGAAGCAACTTTCAATCTTTTAATCCTTTCTGTTCCCCTCCTTTGGTGCCAAATGCTGTCTCATCTCTGTCTCCAGGTGGTGGATATTATGAGGGTGAATGTGGACAAGGTTTTGGAAAGGGACCAGAAGCTTTCAGAGTTGGATGACAGAGCAGATGCTCTACAGGCCGGAGCCTCCCAGTTTGAAAGCTGCGCAGCTAAGCTAAAAAACAAGTACTGGTGGAAGAACTGCAAGGTGGGTGCGTTTGAGTGCTTCATCACAGAAAACCTAATAAGGATCTAAATCAAGCAAAAGCCTGCTTGCACTCGGTTTTCTGTTTAGGGGAACAGATTATAATCTGTTAATGAGCTTCTGCAGATTCCCGCAATGATGCTTCAGGGAAACTGGAAGAAGGAACATCTGCTAATGAAGAGTCTCTGTGGAAACTAAAAGGATTCCTTAAATAAACGACATGAAATGCAAACAGTAATGGGTGTTATTGTGTGGCTCAGATGGCGTCTTAAGCGTAAACACTAAAGAATTTTGTCTTAATTCTCTTTTAATAGATGATGATCATGATGGGCATCATTGGAGTCATTGTAGTTGGAATAATATTCTGTAAGTATAAAATGCTTTTGTTTTAATAATTGTAAGATATATTGGTTTTATTTGTAGGAGTAAAGAAAATGGACAAGTAAAAGGCCTCTATTATGATTTTGAGTAACAAATTGTGTGTTTTAAAGTATTAAACTGTTTTATATCTTAAATTAGTTATGTTACAGTCAAAAGATTAGATGGGTTTTGTTGGGATTTTTATGTGATAGATGGTGTAGAGATGTGATAGTCTACGTTATAGCTTCATGATTTTCTGACCATGCAGGTCTTTCTGCATTACATTTACATGTTCTCCCCCTGTATAAGTGGACTATCTCTGGCACTTCGGCTCATTGAAAAACCTCATTGTTAGATTTATTGGCATCTCGAAATGACCCATATAGGTGTTAGTGATGGGCAGAGGGATGGATGGATGGATGGATGGATGGATGGATGGATGGATGGATGGATGGATGGATGGATGGATGGATGGATGGATGGA